TCTGAGCCAGTGATGCTTTTCGCCTTATCACTTGCTAGATATATAATGAGGTCAGCAATCTCTTCACATTCTGATATTTTCTTAAGTGCTGTTTGCGCCTTTAAAGCATCAGCTCCAACAGCTAAACCATCAAAGATATTTGTTTTAGTAGGTCCAGGGCTTACAGAATTCACTCTAACTCCATGTTTTGCAAGTTCAAGTGCACAAGATCGCGTAAAATGATTCAATGCAGCTTTAGATGTCCTGTATGCAATGCAATTCGGTCTTAAGACTCTAGTTCCGGCTATGCTTGACACGTTTACAATATTACCTTTGGATTGGATAAGATAAGGCACAGCGTGTCGCGTGATGCGAGCCGGTGCTCTAATATTTATATTCATTACCTCATCAAATGTATCCAAAAAATTATCTGACAAAATGTCAGCCTCCCTTAAAATGCCGGCATTATTGACGAGAACGTCTATTTTTCCAAATTTGTCTATGGCTTGCTTGACAACCACGTCTGTGTCTTCGTCCTTGCTTACATCTGCCTTGATAGTGAGAACTTGAGAACCATATGTGGTGCACTTTTGAGCAACTTCTTCTAGTTTAACAACATTTCGTCCAACGATGGCAACTGCGGCTCCTTCTTTTGCAAAGAGTACAGCAGTAGCGGCACCAATCCCAGAACTGCCTCCCGTGACTAACACTATTTTATTTTTGAACATCTTTATGAAAACGTCAGCCTTTCGATCAAATTTAATAAATACTGTTAGCGTAACAACTGAAAAGAATAAGCGCACAATAGGTTATAAAAACACACACCGTTATCTTGAATAGTCTGGAAAGAGAAGCAAATAGTTTGCGATTTAAGAACATGCGTCATTTAAGTTGTGACACAGAAATAAACTTTCTGTCAGTAAACTGTCAATAAATACCTAAAGTAAAGAACGAACAAGTCTCGCTTTACAAAGGGTTTTCTTTTTGTACAAACGCAAGTAGTAGTTTGTCGTATTTTGAATGTATTAATACCTGTAGTGAAGCCCGTATCAAACTAGTGATCATAAATAAAAATAGAGGATAGTAAAAAAAAATAGTATAGGTAATAATTTTTCTCTATTAACAGGTTATGTTGTGTCTACTAGACGGTGTCTCTTCAAGTGTCCAGAAATTGAACCTTTTCTGTTATTCAGTCTGCATCTTAAGAACGTGGAGTAGTCTTCGAAGGCTGTAACAGGGGAGATTGTCACCAATCAGAGATATCTCACAGGTCTACGGGACATCAGTAAACACGAGCAGCGAGTTTAGTGTTCAATTAACACAAGAATTGCAAAATGAAATAGAGCGTCTTCATAAACAACTTGAAAAAATAATTATAAGTATGAAATATCACAAAAACAGAGCAGGTGCTGGCTATTGGCAGGTTGGTAAACTCCTGTAATTGTAATGAGTCATTGTGTTCTCTAGACAGCCCCAAGGCAGCATACCCTCCTCGCTGCCACATATATCTAACAACAATTTTACCTGAAATCAAGGATTCCCCTATACTTACAAAAATACAAACTATAAAAATCAAAACAGCAATGTTTAGTGATGAAATTGGAAAGGGCATGGGTCCCTTAAAGTTAAATACATACTCACTATGCCTCACTCTACTTAATGATATCATAGCAAAGGTTTTAAATTCTAAAATGAATTTCAACATAAATACTTCATTTGTCATTTTTGCTAGTAAAAGGGGAAATGTAAACAAAAAAATCATAGGGTATTTTGAATCATTAATAAAGTTTCTCTTAGTAAAGGGTTGTCACAGGAGGAAGAAAATATTAGACATAATCTAAACATAATGATGCACAATTTAACTTGCCAAATAAATGGACCCTATTATAATAAATTACATTTAATGAACACTAACAAGCTTGTTAGTAATAATATTTCACTGACAAAAGGTAGACATTACCTTTCCAATTATTATGAGAGACAGATAGCAGTTTCGCTATCATATTATTTTTCAATTACAGCCAAGAACTTGGCTAAAAGTATTGCTTCTATTGAACAAATTGACATAACTCGTAATGACTTTGCCAATACGTTGACAGATAATTCTATTGACATATCTAATAATTTATTTACTAATGTGATTGACATTACAAATAATTTAAATTGATTGATAAGACAATAGAGTCTACCTCTTGCAGTATTAATTTTAGTTATTTCTTATAGAAAATTCAATCATAGTACATTAATTAGAAATAATAAAATAAATAATATAATTTTGGTTCTTAAAAATATTAGAGGAATGATGAGCAGAGACTTGGAGGTGGAATTGTTCATGAACTGCAATGTGATTGATATTTCTTGTATTACTGAACATTAGCTTAAACAGGATCAGTTCATGTTCTATTTCAATCACCAACAGGTAGGTAGCTCGGTCAGCAGAGGTACAGCAATACATGGTGGCACTATGATACTGATTTATAAGAAACTTAAGTTTAAAGAGTGCCATGACATTGTTAGTCTATCAGTTGAGAGGACTACAGAAATAGACTGTATAGAAAGAAAAGGTTTCATAGTAGTATGTGTTTACCGACCCACTAAGCTATGATTAATATTATGATTGTTTTGAATGTGTTATGGATGAACTCTTATTTAAAGTAACAAAATCAAATAAGAAGTTCATCATTTGTGGTGACTTTAATATTAACCTATTAGAAAAGTCAAGTATTGATCCAAAGTTCAAAGCACTAATTCAAATTCAGAACTTGTTTTTGGAGCCTACATGAATCACTGCAACCACTGCCATATGTTTGGACAATATATTTACAGACATTATAATGAAGGATAAGAAAATAATCAATCAGTTACACTCTGACCGCTGTGACCAATTAGTAACTTTCTGTGATAAATATGAAAAGGTGACAGAAAAAAGGATTGTGGTGATACCTAAAACTGCAAATCATTGTAAAAACTTTAAAAATAAACTTAAAGCTGCATTCAATATTTCAGTACTCTGCGTAGACAATAACCCTAACAGGTATTATAATAGCTTTTTTGAAACTTTTTCTTCAACATTTAACCCTATTTTTACACCAACAACCCTAGTAGTTAAAGGTAACGCCACATTTAGTGAATGGGCTACCACTGGCTTACTCAAAAGTAGGAAAAGATTATATGAGCCATATGATGAGAGAAATTATAATAAAAGTGAACAGTTTCATAATTATGTTCAAGAATATTCAAAGCTGTTCAAATAACTTTGTAAATTAGCTAAGTCCCGTTTTATAAGTTAAAAGATTAAAAGTATCAATGATAAGATTAAAACCTATAAACGAAATTGTTAAAAATTAAAGTAAAGTTAAAAAGTAAATAAATTGTTGAGCGTGTGCCTAGATTGTATTACATACTAATTAATTTGTACCTATCTGTGTTAAATTTTTCTAATATTTTTTATATAGTATTTAGTGGCTTTTGTATTGTCTTTTTGAGAATAAATGATTTAAACCAAAAAAAGATAATGTTGGTAGGATTGATAGTGAATTTAAGTTCCAATATGTTTCACCCCTTGAAATTATTAAAGCCTTTAACACTATTAATGTTAAAAAAACAACTGACCTATGGGGAAATTCTGTATTAATTACTAAGACAATTATATCTCTTGTGGCTAATCAATTGTCATTTTCATTTAATCAATGTGTTGAAAGTGGTGTATTTCCTGATCTTATGAAGTCCAGTAAAGTTATTCCCTTATTCAAATCTGGCAGTACAGCTGATCCAACTGAATTTAAGCCTATTTCAGTACTACCAGTATTTAGCAAAACTTTTGCAAAAATTATGTATGATCAATTACAAAGTTATTTTAATAATAATAACTTATTACACAATAGATAATTTAGTTTTACTGGGGGTCGCTCCACAAATGATGCTAATGTTGAGCTTATAAAAAATATATTTGATGCCTGGGAGAATGCCCACGAGTCTAGGTATCTTTTGCGATTTATCTAAAGCTTTAGATTGTGTTGTTCATGAAACACTGATCAGAAAATTATAGCACCATGGTATCAAAACTAAAGCACTGGAACTTCTTGCTTTATATCTAACTAATAGGATTCGGAAACTTGATATTAACGGTGGGTTCTTTGGTACAAATGGGCTTTCCACAAGGTTCTATTCTCGGCCCATTTTTGTTTTTAGTATATATTAACGACTTACCTCACCTTGTCAAGGAAAATCACAAGATCGTGTCGTTTGCAAATGATACATCATGTTATTTAGACTCACACGCTCACTTACTAATTTATAACAGACGTAAACAGTGCCATTTCGAAAGTGGTTCATTGGTTTGACGTTAACAATTTGCTTTTGAATGAAAAAAAAAAACGAAGTGTATATGGTTCACCATGCCAAACGTCAAGCCAGTGAAAACCACTGTGATGATTAAGGATGTCGAGCTAAAACTTGTGAAAACAACGACATTTTTAGGAATAACATTAGATTCTAAGCTACAGTGGGCCCACATATGGATAAATTATCGAGTAGACTCAACACAGCAGCGGACGCAGTTAGAAAAATTTGAGAGTTGACTAATACTAATACAGCACGACTTTTTTACTTTAGTTATTTTCATAGCATAATGTCGTACGGTATTCTACTGTGAGGAATGCTGCCGACATTATGCCTCTTCCAAATATGGTATAAAAATTTAAAGTTTTCTAGGTATCTATGCACTTATGTACTTTAAATGAAATATTATGTTATTTCTTATGTACACGTAGTACATCCAATTGTGTTAGGTTTAAAAGAAGCATCCACCAAACCAAAAATTGAGACAAGCAGACCTAAAAGGCAATAATAGTGTACAGATGGAAAACTACCGTCACGGAACACCTTACTAATCACACACAGTAATCTTAATAAATGATAAGAAACATAAACGCACTAAAGATTGCAAAATAATTACATAGGTTTAAAGAATATTTCATCATTTTAAAGTTCAGTTGAATCTCAATGATTGAGGTTACAACATGTTTTCTAACAAAGTTGTACTCATCACTGGGGCAAGTGCCGGTATTGGCGCTGCTACAGCAGCATGTTTCGCCAAAGAAGGTGCTAGCCTCGCAATTGTTGGAAGAAATGAAACTAAACTTAATGATGTCGCCAGACGCTGCGAGAAGCTGGGAGGTGAAATATACGTCATCAAAGCAGACATAGCAGAAGATAATGAAGAAAAGTAAATTATACAACAAACTATCGACAAATACGGTAAACTTGATGTGCTTATCAATAATGCAGGAATTTACAAGCCGACGAACATTGAAAGCAATATGGTAGAAATATACGATGAAATTATGAAAACGAACTTACGAGCTGTTGTTATAATCACTAGTTTGGCTATTCCTTATCTTAAATTAACTAAAGGGAACGTCATCAATGTTTCAAGTGTGGACTCAATGACCGTCAAATATCCAGGGCTATGTGCGTATGGCATTTCTAAAGCTGGTATTGACTATTTTACAAAATCAATGGCACGTGAACTTGGTCCATCTGGAGTGAGAGTAAATGCTGTCAATCCTGGACCCGTAAATACAGAAATGATTGAAGGAAGTGAATCAGAATTTATTGATTTAACAGTGTTGGGACGAATGTCAGAAGCTGAAGAAGTAGGTGAATTAATGTTATTTATCGCCAGCGATAAAGCCAGGAGTATAACAGGATCTTGTTATGTAATAGATAATGGTTATCTGTTATAAACTTCTTATATATAAAATTCTCGTGTCACAATGTTCGTTCCCGTACTCCTCCGAAACGGCTTGACCGATTCTCATGAAATTTTTTGTGCACATCGGATAGGTCTGAGAATCGGCCAACATCTAGCCCTAAATGGTAAGGGTGACCCATTCCTAATTTTTTTTTGTTTTGCAATACAACGTTTGCCGGGTCAGCTAGTAATATATAAATACCTACTTAAGTCTGTAAAATTCACAATGTTTGTTTTGCCAACAATGTGTGTTTGGGAAAGATAATATAATCATATTTTTTTACTATGCAAGTTATTATTGTCATAATTTTTTTCTTTGAAAAGACAACTCCTCATTAGGAATATATCCTGTGTCGGGGGGGATTTTACAAACATACATGAAACGACTGCACGGATGGCGTAGTGGTTTAAGCGGTCACCGCACCGCTTTCCATTGCGCTGAGTGTTGTGGGTTCGATCCCCGCATGGTGCAACACTTTGTGTGATCCACAAATTGTTCCGAGTCTGGGTGTTCTTTGTGTCCGTTTAATGTATGTTTGTGAAGTCCTCCGCGACACAGCAATATAATCTTAATGCGGGAGTTGTCTTTTTTTAATAGAAAAAAAACGGACACGAAGAACACACAGACTCAGAAAAAGAATTTGTGGATCACACAAAGTGTCGTCCAATGTGGGGATCGAACCCACAACACTCAACGTCAATTCAATGGCGTAGTTGTTCAAGCGGTCGCCACGCTGCTTACTACTATAAGCAGCGTGGCGACCGCTTGAACAACTACGCCATCCGTGCAGTTAAAAGCACAGCAGTAATAAAATCGAGTGTCACTACCCCTATTTATCCCGTGGGTGTCGCAAGCGCCGACTAAGGGAAAAAATACACAGAACAACAGCACTGCAGAGAGAAGGAAAACTTGACACAAACTATATACCAAGCCGTCTGGCCAGCGTGGTATAGTAGACCAAAACTTCCTTTCTAAGGAGAGGCTTATGTCCAGCAGTGGACTATTAAAGGCTATTGATGTGATGTGACTATATCGGGGGAGACTTTCTCGTTCTGCAGAAAATCCATTGCATCTGCATTTACTTTAAAATACGTAATCATTTACAATAAAGATACAGATTATAATAAATGTATCTATAAATGGTAATCCGACAGACATCACATGGGCAGTTACATTAAATCTAACGGGCCTATTGGTCTAGTGGTAAATGATCTTAACTGCTAACCCAGAGGTCATGGGTTCAATTCTCACACAGAATAAATAATTATGTGTCTGGGTGTAGTTTATATTAAGTGATCTTTTTTATTTCTTGAAAAAATCTGATTATACATTTAATCAAAAATTGACAAAACTCATAGCTCAAAGTAAAAAATGACAATCTCAAGGGTCTTCAGTTATTACCCAAAGTGTAGATCCTACTCAATTCAGACATTTTGAAAAAACGGCTATGATTTAAATCTTAACAAAAACTTACTCTACTGACTAAAGTTTCATCTCAAAATTTTGTTAACAAATTGTTACAATATTTTTAAAAACCATCAGGGCATTCAAAGCTAATTCCAGGTATCTATGACAGTGTCAGTACAGACACCATTTTGCTGACAGCTAATAAGGTTTAGGTGGCTTTTCTATACGTCTACTTTTTATCCTAAAATGTATGTTCCGAATAATAATATATTTGTACAATAAATATCATAATACAAATAGGTACCTCTTGTTCAAAAGTTAAAAGTCATTCCATGCTTTTAAATTTGCTGAACACAAAACCTGTTTCGTATTGATTTACACAAACTACGATTAATTTTTGTACAATTTTGTGACTAAAATTTTACATTAAAATCATTTACATGCCCAGCTTGATCTACGAGGTATTAGATTTTTATTAAAAAAGAAAGTGTTGTAGGGTATATGATTTTAACTTTTAATGTATATTTTTTCCTCTACCTGATATATTTTATCGTTAATTGCTGCGTCGCATGTCACACTCATTAAGTTTTATACGAGATTTAGTGCACATATATAAAACATTCAGGAATACTTGATATTGGCTATAATATATAAAATTCTCGTGTCACGGTGTTAGAAGTTGAACTCCTCCGAAACGGGTCGACCGATTTTGGTGAAATTTTGTGTGCGTATTGGGTAGGTCTGAGAATCGGCCAACATCTATTTTTCATACCCCTAAATAATTTTTCAATATTTCCTAGAAATAATGTATATGGCAAAACAACGTTTGCCGGGTCAGCTAGTAATATATATGTTTCGAAATATACATATAAGTATTTTTATCAGTCAGTCTGGTTACCATAGCACATGCTCTGCCTAGTCAGTAGGTGTGTGTGAGACGTGTGAGGTTCTTATTAATGTTTATTATAATTATATGTAATCTTCTCCGTGAAGTGACGGATTCAGAACATGGAGTGTCACCACACGTATTCATCCCGTGAGTGTCGTAACAGATGACTAAGGAAACAAACTACGTAGAAGAACAGCACTGCAAAGAGAAGGAAAACTTGAAACAAACCCTGTACCAACTCGTCTGGACAGCGTGATATAGTATCCCTTGCCCCAATTTCCTCTTCTTTGTGGGGTTAATCAAGTAGTCGACAATAAAATAAAACAGACGAAACCGTTTACTCCAAACTCAAATTAAAATTTGAAAAAAAACATTTCTATTGACAAAGAAAATAATTGTTTTACATGTGATTTATTTCCATTATAATAAATATAATATTCTTCCTCTTAAAATTATTATGAAAGACTCATACCGTTATCAATTTCATAGCAACTTCCAGTAACACTTTTCGCCTTGTCGCTTGCTAGAAACACCATCAATTCTGCAATCTCTTCAGGATCTGAAACTCTTTTTAAGGCTACGGTATCAGCAACATTGTCCATAGTATAGTCTATGTTATTATTTTTGTATACATTTGTATATACAGGACCAGGGTTTACAGAATTCACTCTAACTCCAGACTCTGCCAACTCGAAGGCGGCCACACGGGTAAAATAGTCCACACCAGCTTTGGAAACACCATAAGAAGGGTAGGCACTTCCATGTTTAATATCTTTAGAAACAATACTTGATGTATTAACTATGCAACCTTTGGTTTCAATCAGATGTGGAGTAGCCAGGCTCGTCATGAGTACCACTCCACGTAGATTCGTATTCAATACTTCATCATAAGTATTCATAATTGTTTTATTCACCAGTTTTCCTTTCCTGACGATGCCGGCGTTATTAATTAGAACATCGAGACGTCCGAACTCTTCAATCGTCTTCTCGATTGCTGCTTTCGCTTCGTCATCTTTGGATACGTCGGTTTTCATGAATAACACTCGCTTACCGAAAGCTTTACACTTTTCAGCCACTTTTTGGGCGCTAGCTTCATTACAGTCGAGTATGACCACATTTGCTCCTTCTTTAGCAAAGTGTATCACAGTTGCTTCTCCAATGCCTGAACCGGCTCCAGTGACAACAACAACTTTATTTTCAAATAGCATTATTGAATAAAATGTTCAACTGTTGTACGTCTTTGTGTTGTTGTGTTCAAATGCTTTCTGATGAACGCAACTCTCAACTGATAATTATGGTCCATATGTATGTTTTTGTCGAGCTATTTATATTAAATTTGGTGACCTTATAACGTCTGTCTCACCTTGATGAGCACAGTAGAAACAAGGACAATACATTGATTACGGAAAGGTTTTTTTTATTTATTAAATCCACAAACCACAGTCATAATTAACAGCCTTCAATAGTCCAATGCTGGATATAGACTTCTCCTCAGAAAAGAGGTTTTGGCCTACTATACCACGCTGGCCCGGCGGGTTGGTTAGGCTTTGCACTTTTCTTTGCAGAGTTTGGTACCATTACTCGGCTCTTACGACACTCACGGGATGAACGGAGGTGGTGAAAGTGCGTATTCTTAATCCATCATCACAAGGACATTATAATCAATTAAACCATACAACATAAATACGTCGTTTAGATCTGAATCGTAACGTAACTAATATGTGCACTCAAAGAAAAGCAATAAACATAGGAATAAGGTGTTGGTTACATTTTGCAATTACTAATGTTGTATTCACACAGAATAATTTTAAATTTTTGTATCAGTGGGAGAGGCTTATGTCCAGCAGTGGACTGCGACAAGCTGATGATGACGATGATGATGATGTATCAATATAAGTATAAAGATTGTGACAGAAAAATGCGTTAAAATAGTTGTTTTTAATAATTTGAAAGCTAAGAACAGCTAAGCTAGGAATTGATTAGATGGAAAATATATGTGTGACAGTGACGTAACATTACAGTACATCTACGATAGGGACTGCATGCTCATTTTGCCACCTAAACCGTATTGTACGAACACATCGTTTAACTGTTTTACTTAAAATATTATGTAATTAAAACACCCGTCCGAGTTCCGCCATATGTAGATGATGAGAATTATGAGAAAAACACAAATTAATATACTGAGGTGATAAAATTTACATCGTCCATGAGTTTGAATATTTTACAACGCATTTATATTAATAAAACCTAATTCATTCAAAACTATTATTAGCAGAATTATTTGTTCTGTGTCCGGGTGTAATTTATCCATAATACGAGGGCGGGTCAATAAGTCCGTGACTTTTTGAATTTCTGACCTCTTTATTGAAAAAGCAACACTACTCCTGTCAACAAGCATCTGTCAGTTGACTCCTGTCAAAATTTGAAGTTGCTGCGTCAGTTAGTTTGTGTTTGACAGCTATCTTTATCAGACTACCCAGTAATTTGCGAATTTCGAAAAAAAAGTGAATTTCGTGTGCTTATTAAGCATTATTTTTTGCGAAAAAAAAACATTACCGAGACCAAGGCTAAGCTTGATAAATACTATGGGGACTCTGCACCATCGATTTCAATGGTAAAAAAGTGGTTTACTGAATTTCGTTGTGGCCGTACAAGCACTGAAGATGCCGAACGTCCTGGACGCCCAGTTGAG